GCAGGGAGAATGACAGGAAGGAGTCCATGCTTGCTCCCCTTTCAGGTAGTCCAGCCAGTTCAAAGGTCACACAAGGTGAATTGCAAACCTCTGGTTTGCACAGGTGTTCATCCCCTCCAAGATGAGAAAAGTTTCTGCACCATGTCCGCTGTGAACCTCAAAGGAGGAAGGAAGCAGGGCGCTCTTCGCATTTAAAAAATCTGCATTCAAAACCTGAATTACGTAAGCCGTGTGTGGAGCATGCTTCTGGTATGACGGGTTTTGTGGAGACCCACACACTTGCGCCCAGGCTGGGAGGAGAAAAGAGGGTCTGGAGGGGATCCATGCCTGGTTGTCAACCCTCCCGAGAGGGTCGTGTCGGGCACGGATCGCCTCTCCCCGAGATGGTTCAATGCAGGGGTACCAGCTCTCCTGACAGGCTTCGTGTCTGGGGTCAGGATGGGTGAAGTTCTCCTAATAGTCTGCCTTAATTCATACATGGCATTTGTTGACGTCATGCATCATGTAAAGGGGCAGTGAGAGAGTGAGAATATCAAACACAATTTCTCCAACATCCTTTGACCCTCTTCGTTTGACTACAGCCTCTCAGGGTAAAACAAGTTCATTTGAGGATTTGGGACACTCTCTTTTTGCCAAGAGCTTAAACGAAGTAGAGGCATTCGTCATAAAGAGCCACATGAAGTTTGACCGTTTCCCCAGGTCTGGTGGAAATGTATTAAAATGCTTGGGTGCATGTGAGCAGCTTTGAGTGTTCCACGCTGAGTGGCTCCGTTATTTCCGCTGCCACGTCATTAGGGCCTTTGGAAGACACGCTAAACAGTGTTAGAGGATTAGTCTGGCTTCATCAGGTAATCGTTCGCTAATCTAATTAATTGGGTTAAAGCGGTGAAAGAGCTGAGTGAGCGCAGAAGCCTCTGCCTCTTCGGGCGCAGAGCAAGCCTGAGGGGGCTTCCGGAGCAATGGGTCCCTCATCCCACCAAGGCAGAACCCACTGGGTGCCATTCTTTCTTGTCAAAGGACTGCCTCCACTTTGACTTAACCTAGCTGATATTTGCCAGTTTGCAAATAATGCCCTGCTGAGGGAATGTCAGAAGAGGCTGGATCAGACAACGTAACGGACCTCTTCAGTCCAGCATTTTGCTTCACGCCAAGGATGGCCAACCTGATGCCTCTGGGTTGGCCACTATCGGACAAAGCAGAAGACCTCCAGAAGCTGATCCCCAGGGGCATTTCCCTCTTGAAACAGAAGATCCCACAGGTGCCTAGGTAAAGGTTCCCCTTGGTATTTAGTCCAGTTGTGTCCGACTCTAGGGTGCGGTGCTCATCCCCGTCTCCAAGCTGTAGAGCCAGCATTTGTCCGAAGACAGTTTCCGTGGTCACGTGGCCAGCGCGACTAGACATGGAACGCCGTTACCTTCCCACCGAGGTGGTACCTATTTATCTACCTGCATTTTTACATGCTTTCGAACAGCTAGGTTGGCAGGAGCTGGGACAAGCGACAGGAGCTCACTCCGTCCCGAGGATTCGATCTTACGACGGCTGGTCTTCCGACCTTGCAGCACAGAGGCTTCTGCGGTTTAATCCCCAGCACCACCATGTCCCACAGATGCCTACAGTGGCTTAAAAACGTGTGGAGGAGCCTCTGGCCCTGGGCTGGATCTGGCTACCTGGGGGTTCTCCAGAAGACCACCCACCTTTCCTCATCATGGTGGCTTCCCAAATTTCATCCCACTCTGTAAGTCTGAAGGGCCTCTCTCTTAAGACTTACTTACTGGCATGCTCTTGAAGCTGGAATATGATTGTCATTTTGGTTCCATTGCTCCAGCCTCTAGAGAACATCTCTGAAATGGAAATTGGCCTCAAGCTGAAAGGGGTTCCCCAATTTTATCTAAAAGTTATGGATGGCTTATATCTGTAACTGTCCCTAATTCCCCTTTGAAAGCAAGGGGAAACCCTCATCCTGTATCAGTGATTCTATACGCCATGGGAATAGACAACAGACAAGGTTGTTCCACCTCCACCCCACCCCCTGGTCTTATCTGTCAAGCTTTGCCACACAACCAGGTCTTTCTGTTTCGGGCTTTGGAACAGGATTGGAGAATGTGCATGGTTTGAGGTAGTGTGTTCTCAGTTTTAAAACAGACTTTAAAATGGGCAGTTGTGATCTATCTGTCTTTATCCCTCCTTTCTCCTTAAAGGACCCAAATCATTAATGGTGATCTAATAGGATTTTTGAGGTATTTCAGATTTTCGAAGAGTAATTTACCGTTCCCACCCCACCAACTGAGTTTCCATGGCTAAGCAAAGGATTTGAACTCGGGTCTCCTGAGTCTTCGCTCAAAACTCTTATTTGCTAAGACCCGACACGTTGCAAAACCAGGCACATGGTGGAAGAGTCTGCTGGGAGGGGCAAGCCATGGTGTGTGATAGCTCTTGCACGCAAAGTTTTCTTTAAAGGATTCGGGCTCCAAAATGCAGAGAGGAGCAATATTCCGGCACACGTCCTGTTGGCTGCATGCCGCCTGGAAGAGACACCACGGCAGGCCTCTGTTGCCGGCGTCGACTTGCACCGGTTCGGAGGCGAGCCATGCAGTTGATGCAAAGAGAACAAACTTAGCCATCTTGCAGGAAATCAACCCTGAGTGCTCACTGGAAGGACAGATCCTGGAGCGGAGGCTCCAATACTTTGGCCATCTCATGAGAAGACTCCCTGGAAAAGACCCTGATGTTGGGAAAGTGTGAAGGCAAGAGGAGAAGGGGACAACAGAGGATGAGATGGTTGGACAGTGTCATTGAAGCAACCAACATGACTTTGACCCAACTCTGGGAGGCAGTGGAAGATAGGAGGACCTGGCGTGCTCTGGTCCATGGGGTCACGAAGAGTCGGACATGACTTAACGACAACAACATGATACGCAGTAGTCTGTGCCAGTAGCAGAAATAAAACGGTGCATAAAAGGGAGTTGTTCTTGCTCCCAGTTGTTAAGGGTTTGAAGTATTGTTCTCTCAGATCTAAACAGAGAGGACATTCTGTTAGAAAATGCATCGGCGTCCTCCATTTTAGGGCCTCCCACTGGGCAATGTTTGCAGTCAGTCTGTATAACATCACAGGAGGTGCTTTGCAGCCGTCGGATCCCTGCTCTCTGGCAAGTTCTACGCTTTCTGCCCAAACCGGGCGCTCCCACCGATGGGGGTGAGTTGATGGTTTCAGGCTGACCTCCGCGCCACAAGGACACTGAAATAAGGGGAAAGGAAAGAACTTCAGCATGAGCGAAGCAGAGACGAAAGCTGATAGCTGTCAGGGGTGGACGTTCCATCCATATCTTTGTGTTTCATCTGTGTTTTCAGCAACCACAGCATGGGTCTCCCGAATATTTTCGCAAAACAAAACCGAAGCTTTTTCATCATGTCTAGACTTGATTTGTTGAGTGTCTTTGATCTCTGAAAATAGCAACCAGATCTTGGAAACTTAATGTATTTGGGCAATGAGTCCTGGAACCTACGGCCATGCCGGCTGAGGATTCTGGGTGTCGTAGTCCACAAAGGACATTTCTAAGCTTGGGCAGCAATGAGGTGACAGATTTAGCTACGGGCTGTTCTGACAGCATTCAGTTTGAGGAGACAGGCCCATGTGGGAGTGGAATTTTATCCCTGTGTCTTGTT